CATTGTAGTTCTTAGTTTTTATCCAAGTTGATAAATTATATTTTTTATCGAAATAAATATCTAATTTATTAATTTTATTTTTTAAAATTTTTATAAAAATTAAATTAAAATTAAGTTACAATAAAAGTAAAGATTTCTTTAATTATCATAATGAAGTAAGAAAAAACAATTTCCCTCTTCGTTTTGTTAGGGTTGGAAACCTTGTGTTTTCCATATTCATCCGAAAGGCGAGCTCGGCCTCTCTATCTCTCCCTCTCGATATACATATACAGATATATTTACATAACATTCTAGTCCACCACCAGATCCTGATAGCATGATATCATATAATAAGTCAATCTTTGAATGGAAAGTAATTTATTATATTTCTTTTTTTATTTGAACTTGAATCACAAGAATTTTATAACTCAATCCAGGTGTTAGAAACGCAAATGAGTTTTCTAAATTGTAATTGATTTTACTAGATTTTTTTTAAAAAGGAATCCATGGTAGATTTTTCTTCCTTTTTTAGTTGTTCATGTTTGTTATGAAAATATTCAATTTTTTTACCTTGTTTTTTGTTCATGTTTGTAATGAAAATATTCAATTTTTTTTATCTTGTTTCATAAATTACTCGTAAAAGTTTTTTCTTTCTCATCGAGATGAATCTGATCTATATTTTTAAATTTATTTATAGTTTATTTCTTAAAAAAAAACTCATCCTTGAAAAATACAATAACAAAGAAAAGAAAATCAAGTAAAATGAGATGATTTTGCCTACCAAAGAAGGTTTTTGAAACAAAAACTGCTAAACAAAGGGCCAATCAAACGATTATCTAATTATTTCTGACATTATAGGGAATAAATATTTAATCTTAATATACTAGAAGTACTATGATATAATGAAGTAAGAAAAAAAAAACAATTTCCCTCTTCGTTTTGCTAGGGTTGGAAATCTTGGATTTTCCATATTCATCCGAAAGGCCAGCTCGGCCCCTCTATCTCTCCCTCTCTATATATACATATACAGATATATTTACATAACGTTCTAGTCCACCACCAGATCCTGATAGCAAATTTTAGCCTGGTCTAAAAGAAAGATGATGACAGGAAATAGAATGAGACGTTTGATGAACAATAAGGCAATTCAAGAGGTTGACTTGATTTCTGAGTTGCCCGACCCCATCATTCAACATATCATGTCTTCTTTGCCCTACAAAGATGCCGCAAGGATGAGTATTCTGTCCAAGAGATTTGCATCTGCATGGCCTTCTTTTCCAATCATCTTTCTTGACGAAACCCTGAACATGGGATCGTGCCTTGAGTTGACAGGTAAACAGAAATTAAACAGTTTTTTGAGCTATGTGGGTGATTTTCTTTCTCGTCGCCGACTGGATGTTAGCTTAGAAAAATTTAGCTTTTGTTTTCGTCTAAATAATAGCTCTGAGCAACCAAATGGTGTCATTGAGAATGCAATCAGTTATGCAATAGAGAATAATGTGAAAGAGCTAGAGCTAGATTTTGTTGGAAAAAGTTTCAAATGTATGGCACATTATAGTTTGCCGATGAAAGTATTGTCTGCTCAAAGTGTTGTTGTTTTGAGTTTGAAGGGGTTCATGTTGGAGCCACCCCAGAATTTGGTCTTGGATTTCCCTTTCATAAAAGAATTGAGATTGGAAAAGTGTAAGGGGATGCAAACACTCAGTGTTTCAAGCCAAACACTAAAGATTGTGGTGTTAGAATTTTGTCAAAGGCTGGAGAAGGTTGAAATCGATGCTTCGAATCTCGAATCCTTCTCGTTCGACGAAGGATCAGACTCATCCTGCAGCGTCGATATCACCTCTTGCAAGTCCCTCGAATACTTATCTTTGAGGAATGCTGAGATCATAGATGAATGGATTAAACATGAAGTTGCTCAATTTCTTCGACTTGAGGTTTTCAAAGTTGTTGGTTGTAGGCTATTGGAAAACTTCTGTGTTTCCAATGCTAATCTTAAGACAGTGGAGCTAAGTGATTGCTCAAACTTACAGAAGATTGAGATTTATTCACGAAGTCTAAACACATTTGTTTACGGTGGTCAGTTAATGCCATCACAAGTTTTCATTTATTCTCCATCTTTCCATGCTAAGGTCTCAATGAGTGTAGATCATCCACTCCCCCATGACTGGTTCTCGAGCTTCAGGGATTTTCTTTCATGCTTCGACCATTGCAAAGAGTTAGAAATTGCTTGCAGTATTGAGATGGTACGATTTCCTTCGCTTGAGATTTTTTTTTGCTCTTGTAAATTACAGTCTTGTTCATTTATGCAATACAAACTTTTTTCACTATAATCTGTCTCTCCTTTCCATTTCTAGGCTTTGATTGTTCCAATAGATTCAAGGGACAACTTGCTTCCTCCATTGTATGACCTCAAGTATCTGAAGGTAGTCGCAAAATTTCCAACAAAATCGGAGGATCTCGTGGGCTTGTTGGATAGTTTGCTTTGGTTTGCTCCTCGTTTAACAGTATTATCTTTTGTTTCCGGCAGCAAGGAAAAATCTCTCAAGGTATGTACATGTCCTCGTTGTGAAATCACACGAATCTCAGGATTTGGTTTGGTGACCAAAAGGGACAGATGTAGAAGAGCCCGTAAAGAAACATAAAATAACTTTATTTTTTAAACAATTTTAAGATAAATTTATGCATTTTTTTTTTATTTCACCATCTCTTTCTTTTTTATCTCCAAACCTAAGAAAGAAACATCAAATGCTACCTAAGAAATTAAAAATATGCCCTTGATTTATTTATTTCTGCTGTCCAGTATCCACATAAAATCTTGATCCAATGGCTCAAAGATCCTTTAGAAGTTTTATTTCATCATTTTTTTCTAAATGTTTAGCATGAAGCTACGCGTAATTTGTTATCTTTACAAAATAGCCTGTCTGCGGGATAGTATTTTGACGCTGATGATTTCTTTCTATTTTGTAGTTTGAATATGATATAACAGTAGCTATAGTTGAAGATCTCGAGCGCTGCTGCTCGATGCCTATAAAGTGTTGGCGACACTCTTTAAAGAAAGTTACAATGGAGAACTTCGAGGATCGTGAAGAAACTATTCTGCAGAGGTTCTTCGCACAAAAGGCGACAAGGTTGGAAGCAACTTCAAGGGAAGACAATGCTCGTGCTGATGCTTCAGCCAAGGGAGCAGTCTCTTAGGTTTCTGGTTTCGGTGATCGCTCGGACTATCGGTGATCTAGGGGCTGTTATCATGGCTAACTTTTTTGATGTTAATGATCATTAGAAATTATCATGGCTTATGAGGGCAGATTCACAGGCAGAAGGCTGGTTGGAACCCTCAAAATTCTCCAATTTTGATGTCTTCTAGCCAGGTTTTCTTGGCCACAGGGCTGAATGATTGAAATCAAAGTAGCCTGCAAAATAAAATGGAAATGGTTGTTTTCTGTCTAATTCTGTACAACGTCGAATCGTTGTGATGTGAACTTCTGATTGTGCTCGGAATCTCTTTTATTGTATCAGCTACAGACATATTCTCTCTCTTTTTTTTTTATTAATGCAGACATCCAGCTAACTTATTAAAAAGCAAACCCACACCTTATTCCTATTTTAATGAAGCCAATGATCACCTGCTAACTAATCCACTTCAAGAATAAGTTCCCAAGCAATCTCAAAATCTCTCTTGACTGCCCAAAACTCAGCCTTGGTGGCTGCAAAAGCATGATGGAAACGGCCTTTTCAACCCCACCTGCACCAGCTGCTTCTCCTCACACTAGGTCCTTGTTCATGTATGAAAGAACTTTTTTTCTTTTTCAATTTTTTCAAGGGGTTCGTTCCATTCTCCTGATTGGTGTTACAGGTTTTGAAGATTGATTAATAATTAACTTTGGTTTTTTAAGTCATTTCATAAAATTAATTTAATTTTAATTTAATTTTTTAATATTTAATTTTGTATTTTTTTGATTTAATCTTTGTGTGTTTTTTTTCTTTTCCTTAGGATTATCTTAACCATATACATATATGATTATAGAGTTAGCAAATTAACTTTGATTAACTTTAATTTTTTATGTTTTTTAAATTTATTTTTTTATTTTTATCTTTCAATATTTATTTTTTTAAAATTGATATTTATACTTTTTTTTTTATTTTTTCCCTATAAAATTATTCTAATCTTACGTCTATGAGTTAACTTAAGAGGATCTATATTTTTTTCTTCTAATTTTATCATCTAACATTGAGTTGTTTAATAATTTAGTTTAATAGTTTTATTTATTTTTTTTTCATTAATTTTTTTTATGTTTTATTGGTATGGATAAGTGTTTGATTAAATAAAATATTTATTTTAAAAAACAAAGTTATTTAGTATACTTTCGTGTTATAAAATTAAATATTTTAATATTAGTTATTCCTCGATTAAATATTAATTTATTTATAAGTTTTTTTATTTATGATTGATAATATTTTTTATATTTAGAAACACATTGGAAATGTTTATATATTTTTTTTTACTAAAAAAATTATTTAATATATAATAAAACACAAGTCAAATGAGCAATGAATGTTGATTTTTATTAGGTGAAATTTACAAGTTGTTTTTTGTTATAATTTTTGTAAATGAAAAATTTAAATTTAAAAGTATAAGTATAAGGAAGAAATTATTCAAATCAAATATAAATTAGAATATAAATATTTTTAATAAAAAAATTTGATTCAATTTTACAACATTTTTTTATTAAATTAAAAGTTATTTGTAATCAATACATTTATAGTTTTTAAAAATTTAAAATAAAAAATAACTTAAATCAATTTTTAAAAATAATTAAAAAAAATATGTGTGTTACTTTTTTGTAAATTGTTTCTTACCAAAACTAAGGGTAAATCTTCAAAGAAAAAAAAAAGAAAGAAAAGAAAAGAAAAGAAAAGAAAATTGCAACTCTAGTTATGGTTAAAATTATAGGCTCCGGATCTAAACCAAAGGATCCGGGTATCACTTCTACTTGGATCCACTAACCCATATTAACAGCCGAAAACCATTTTCCATTTCCGCAGCCAAGATTTGGCCTTTCTTAAGCTGATAATGGCATAACCTTTCGAAATCCCTCAACTATGTCAAGACCAATAACCACACTCTCTTCTCCAACTCTCAAAATCCCATCCTTTTCTCTTCTTTCCCTTCGAACCCACAAAATCCAAACCATTTCTAGTCACTCTTTAGCTATAAAGACTAGACCTTTATGTAGCCATAACCAGACGCTGAAAAGATTTGGTTTGTTTCTGGACAGGAGGGATAGGAAGTTGGGGTTTCGTTTTAATGTAGAGAATGGAGAAGGAGAGAGCAAAAGGGATGGTGTATTTGATGATGGTGAACGTGGAGAGAGTACTATGCCTGAGAGGTTTAGGTACTTAACTAAAGAAGCACCTGACCCTCCTGTTTGGTGGCCTTGGTTTGTGGGTATGTTTTAGTTTCTTTGCTAGAAGAAAAGGACTTAATATTTGAAGATAAATTATTGCTGTTATGAATTTTTTTTGAGTTTTGGGTTTTGAGTGCTACTTTTTTTTCGCTGTTGTTGGTGAAATTTCAAGTAGATTGGTTGTTCAGTTTTCTTGATTGCAAATGTTCAAGCAATTTTTTGAGCTTGTTGGCTGTTTTATTAGTTGAGAAATTGAAATCGATACTGTTACTTCACGAATTCTTCTGTTGGATGATGTATTGCTTTGCTCAACATTTATATGTGATAGTTTTGTAACATTTAGACATTTTTTTCAGCATGGGGGAACTTTTGTTCTTTCTCTGGAGATTAATATTGGATTTTTTTTTTTGAAATGATTTTCATAGATTACTTGAATGTGACTTGTGCTGAATGTCTGATGAAAATTATCCACCATGATGATTTTGTTACATTATGCTTTGAACAATTTGCTTGAGTTGCCAACATATTTTGACTCAAATCAGTTGTTACTTGATTTTGTAGGGTTCACATTTTGTCTTGAAATCAATTGTTGTTCTTGGTGTGATAAATATTACCACCTCCACCACCGCTATTATTGTTTCAAAGCATCTTTCTTTAAATAACTGTAACCTATTTTTCAATATACATTGATGCCAATTGCCATGGAAATGATGGCAATATGAAGTAAAAGGTCTGAGCAGAGTGAGTTAATGGTGTTAGTCATGGATGCGGAAGTGTGGAGGTGCAAGAAAGGAAGAGGGCCCTTGTCCTTGTTTTGAGTTACTGCATTGTGACCGTCGCAACCTCTCCTACAAAAAAAAATTGCCATTCTTGGTGATGGGTTGAAATAAAAGGCGTGGGGCTGCATTCTAGAATTGAATGCTAGCCTAGAATTCTCCCAACATTGTGTATTTGCATCTCCTTACTTCAAGCTTCTGTTGGCTGCCACCATGCTTCCTGTATTGATCAAAACTTTTATGCTGATCCACACATGCTGCAATGGATGTGTTCTTTGGGATAATATATGTTGTTTTCTCACCGTTTATGCATTGATAGTTGAGCTTAATAGTTTTTTAAACATGAAGAAAATGGAAATGATGGCAATATGAAGTAAAAGGTCTGAGCAGAGTGAGTTAATGGTGTTAGTCATGGATGCGGAAGTTTGGATGTGCAATAAAGGGAGAGGGCCCTTGTCCTTGTTTTGAGTTACTGCATTGTGACTGTCGCAACCTCTCCTACAAAAAAAAATTGCCATTCTTGGTGATGGGTTGAAATAAAAGGCGTGGGGCTGCATTCTAGAATTGAATGCTAGCCTAGAATTCTCCCAACATTTTGTACTCGCATCTCCTTACTTTAAGCTTCTGTTTGCTGCCACCATGCTTCCTGTATTGATCAAAACTTTTATGCTGATCCACACATGCTGCAATGGATGTTTTCTTTGGGATAATATAAGTTGTTTTCTCACCGT